GTGCGTTTTTTGTATGTGCACAGACGTAACACCTCTTCTGAGCCCTTTTCTTCAAAGCAGTAGCAGGCAGTTTTACCAGGAAGTGATCACCATGCTTCAGACGAGCAGGTAGTTGTTGATAATTTGGTGGGCGGTCAATTGCAGGTGCTGTTCCTTGTACTTGAATACTATTTGTCTGATGACAGACAAACAGAATTCGCCGTACTGTGGTTTGTTTCTGGTGCTCATCTTATACATATTATAAGCATTGAGCATGGAAATGTCCAGAAGATGGAAAAAACAGTTTGATGTACCACTTATAACTCTTGCGAACACAATCAGCAAACCCAATCTGCATGTCACATTTGTCCACTGAACGCATGTTGAAGGTGTAATCAATCACAGCTGCAGGTTTTAGAATGGGTTAAATTTCTCTCTCTATGCTGCCTGCCACTGTCTGCCATTTCATTAGGGTGAATTGATGACAACAGTGTGACATCTCGTTTGTCATGCCACCGAAATGCCATGATGTCATTGGCAACAAACGCCTGCACCTCACCTCTACGAGTGCTAGCGTCAAACCTGGGCATATGTTTCCGATTTGCACGCACTGTGCCACACACATCTGTCATGTTCACTCGCAAAAAATCACTGAGTGAGGGGCTTGTGTACCAGTTATCTGTATATAATATATGCCCCTTACCAAGGTATGGTTCTATCATTGTTCGAACCACATCACCTGAGATGCCCAATAACTTCCTGGTATTTTGCAATGTATAACTTCCAGTGTACACAATAATATCCAATACCAGACCACTGTAACAATCACAAAGCATAAACAACTTTATACCAAAGCGTTTCTCTTGCTTGGTATGTACTGCTTGAAAGAGAGTCTTCCTTTGAACAGAATCAAAGACTCGTCAATTACAACTTCCTGAAGGGATAAAAATGCGTACTGAATTTCTGTTTCAGATACACAAACACATTCCTAATCTTATATAACCTGTCAGTTCTGTCAGGCCTGGTTTTATCTGAGAAGTGAAGCATACGTAACATTAGCACAAATCGATTCACTGGCATTATATCACTGAAACCTGGTGTTGCAATCAGGGGGTCTGTTGACCAGTATGATTTCACTTTGTGCTTATACACATGTGGCATAAGCATTATTGTGGCAAAGAAAAGATACATCTCAGCCACAGTTGCCTCCTTCCACTGGTGTAGACGTGATTTTGGTGAAAGTAATGTGTTTGCCATGGTGTACTCGTAGTATGTGTTGCTTTCCATGACAATACTTTTCATCAGTGGTTCATCAAAGAATAACTCGAAACATTCCAGTTCAGTGGCATTGTTCCCAAGTGCACAAGATGGCCGTATTCCACTTTGGCTGTCATCAAACTGGTGGGATTTGGAACAAAATTGACAGCTTCCTGCCAATCCCAGGTGCGGTCTGCTGGTGGTACTGGACAATGACAGGTGGTTGTGGTTGTGGAGGTTGTGGTTGTGGAGGCTGGTGTGGTGGGTGAGTGGGGGATGGTGGCCTTTGTTCTAGATCAGCTGAGGCAGCGGCGTGGGTGGCAGTATGGCCCACTGCTGGTGCCTCACCGCCGGCACCACTACCACCACGCACATTTTCCATCCCAATTGCAACAGTATCTTCGTCATTTTCACTGTCTGTTCCTGTTGTACAGCCACGGGATGTACTCTGAGATACACTCCTTCCCCCTTGGTATAACATATGGCACACTACCAGAGCGCATATATCGTCGTATATACTGACGCTTCACGGGGAATATTGCACTTCACTATCACTACTGGAACTAGTTTGAAGAGCTTGTAGTTCATATTCACTATCACTATCATCACCCATGCTCCTCATCTGAGTCTGGGATTTGGGAAAATAGAAGTTTCCTCTTGGGTTCTGGAACAACTGAACGTGAACAAGAGGCCCCAGCACCAGAGGTGAAGGCTGAGGGTCGTCTGGGTTTTCCTCACTATTACCGATATTATGGTCATTAGTTTTGGTCAAAACCTCACTAAAACCACGAAACTCATCTTCACTGGCACTTCCATCACTATTAGAACTGTCACTGGGGAACAAAAGTGTCCCAATTCGCCGAGGAGTGAGGACCTTCTTACCGCGAGGCATGGTGGACATTGTTTACTAAGAGGGCATTCCCACAATGCACCACTGGGTCCCAGATTTTTTTTCTACCGCGCACACCAACCACGCAGACCCATTCTCTCACACCTAGGCCTACCAGCCTTTTTGCGCGAGATTTGAGGCCGCTAGAATTTATGCGTACTAGTACGTCAAAAACCCCTACGCGCAAGACGTACTAGTACGACCAAAACCCTCAAAGGGTTAAAGGAGGGGTTTTGGGATATTGGCAGTTTGGAGAGACATTTAAACTCTCATATCTAAGCACCTCTGCAAAGACAGTGAGTATGAGTGATGATGAAAGTGTTGAATGTTGATGAAAGTTTTTTCTTTCTTTTTGGGTCACCCTGCCTCGGTGGGAAAAGGCTGATGTGTTAAAAAATTTTTACTTTTTACTGTTGGATCATCTACAATTATGTCAGCTAGGCTGTGGAACAAATTACTACTAGTGTCTTCCTTGACAACTTTGATATCCAGTCTTTCAAGCTGTCTGATGGGTTATCCTTTGAAAATAAGATGACATTTTGATTTTGTTTCATTAGCTGAAGAGAATGTGTTCATTTGCTAACAGTAACCTATGCTAAAAAAAAAAAAAAATTATAAGTAATCTTAATTTGCACAACCAAATCCATAAATCCTACTTGGATATCTACCTCAACCATTTGAAATTATAAAAAAAAATAAAAGTCATATTACTATTTAAATTTTTCCCAAACCACGGGCCAACAATTTTTCCCTTTAATATGCGGGGCCCACAATGAAAATTTCCCTTTTTTTTTCACAAAAAATTTTTTAATTTCCTCTTTTTTTTAAAAAAAAAGGTTATAAAAATTCAGATTTTTTTTAAAAAAAAAAATGAAAAAAAAATTTTCATTTTATTTGGGGGAAAAGTGCCGTAACATGGCGGGAACTGCGAATTAAACCCTTTAAAAAAATGTGTTTTGGGGGTTAATCGTTTCGGGGAAAAAATTTGGGGGGGTTAATTAAAAAAAATTTTCTAGGAAAAAAAGGGGAATGGGAAATTATAGTAACCCCCTTTTTGGGGGTTTGGGGGGGGGTTTTGGCGAGGGGGTTTTGGGAGGCGTGGAGATGTCCTGTCAGGGCAATGTGGGTGTAAATTTTTACAGAAATTTCAGAGTGTGGAAATTAGGGGTGTGGATTAACCCCTTTTTAGGGTTTTTGACGACTAGTACGGCTTTCGCACCCGGGTTTTTACAAATAGATGCCAAATTTTAGCCCCCAAATCTAGTGAGCAAAGCTGGTAGGCCCACATATGAAAAAATGGGGCTAGGGTCAGTGTGACATATAAAAAAATTCTCAGCACACAGTTGTAATGAATAAAAAAAAAACTTTTATGTTTTTGGTTTTTTAAAAAGTGATTTTTCCGTATTTTTATAGGTATTTATGAGGTATTCTAGTTTTCCTGGGCTCATTTTTTAAAAATGGAAAACTATTACAGAAATTGAGACGATTTTGTTGGTTTTTACAATGAAAAGTACTTGATATTGAGCCCAAAATACAGAAATCTCATTTTTGCCCCAAATTCAAAAGTAAAAAATCAGCTAAAGTCCAATACACGTCAACTGGGAGTCTAATATCTTTCACAAGTGGCCGATATTTTTATACCATTTCTACACTAAAGCAGTAGTCTGCAAACAGTAAATCTATTTTTTTTTGAGAATAAAAAAATTTAAATGGAAAGAAAAGAAATTTAAAAGGGCATGGGGACTGACTAATGAACAGGAGGAAATTTTTTAGTGCCAGAAATGTCTTTCTTGTTTATTCGGACCCTTTCGAATTGCATTTTTGAAATTTGTGTGAAATTGGCAAATTGCTAAATTCTGACCACTTTATTGGATAGTTGAAATCGGTAAATGGGTGGTTTCTTGTATTCATTCGATAGAAAAAATGGAGTTATAGCGAAATAGTTATGATTTTTGTTGACCAGTACACTGGAATTGGCCGAAAATAGAGCTCAAAGTGGGCAAAAGTGCCGATGCGTAAACATTGTTGAGACCGCTAACTTCATGAAAGCATAATTCCGTAAGTTTTCCATCAAATTTCACACTTTTGGTGTCATTATGATTGGGAGAAGATTCTCTATCTTTTCATAAGAAATAATAATTTTTTTTTTTACAAAAAATTTTCGACCCTGAGAACAAGTTTTGGAGAGGGCCTCTCGACCCTGAAAGGGTTAATAAAATTATTACTCAGAGGGCTGAAGAGGGGTTGTTGAGGTGGTTTGGTCATTTAGAGAGAATGGATCAAAGTAGAATGACATGGAGAGCATTTAAATCTGTAGGGGAAGGAAGGCAGGGTAGGGGTCGTCCTCGAAAAGGTTGGAAGGAAGGGGTAAGGGAGGTTTTGTGGGCGAGGGGCTTGGACGTCCAGCAGGTGTGCATGAGTGTGTTTGATAGGAGTGAATGGAGATGAATGGTATTTGGGATCTGACGATCTGTTGGAGTGTGAGCAGAGTAATATTAAGTGAAGGGATTCAGGGAAACAGGTTATTTTATATAGCCGGACTTGAGTCCTGGAAATGGGAAGTACAGTGCCTGCACTCTAAAGGAGGGGCTTGGGACATTAGCAGTTTGGATGGATATGTTGTGTATCTTTATACATATATGCTTCTAAGCTGTTGTGTTCTGAGTACCTCTGCAAAAACAATGATTACGTATGAGTGAGGTGAAAGAGTTGAATGATGATGGAAATATTTCCTTTTTGGGGATTTTCTTTCTTTTTTGAGTGACCCTGCCTCGGTGGGAGACGGCCAACTTTTAAAAAAAAAAAAAAAAAAAAAAAAAAAAAAAAAAAAAAAAAAAAAAAAAAGGTCCTCTATACAATGAAATTCTGAAAATTATTTTGTTTCTCTACTATTGTCTTGGGGTTTGGAAACTTTCCCTGTTTTGGGTAAATTTGCGGGGTCAGTAGTTTGTCCTCTGGGGGCTCCCACAAATGTTCTGTATGTTTAGAAACAAAATGCTTGGTTGGTCATAATATTAGACTAGCTGAAAAAAAAAAACGTATGCTGCACCCTTTGGCTTATTGGGCAAATTTTCCCCTTTACTATAATTTTTAAAAAAATTTCAAAAATTTTTTTGCTTATAGTGAAAAAAATTCATTTTTTGAAGTCAAAAACCACACTTCTGTTAAAGGGGTTTTTTTGGGAACACCGAGTTTTATGTATGGACCCCGTACTCACCTGAGTACTTTTAATCCCCCAAACTTACATTATCTCTGTTTTTGTTTGCTTTGTCGGGGATTGCATATGAATGATTGCATTTAGGGAAAGTCCCTTTGGAAATTTTAAATTAAAGGTTTTCAGTTGATTGAACAAAAATTAGGAGAGTCAAAGGAAAACCACTGGCTCGGGCCCCTTAACCCTTGACTGTTTGGTCGTATATATACGTCTTCCGACCCCAGTTTTTTCGACTATATATCCCAAATAATTTGCGGCTTAAAACAAGCGGGAAAAGAAAGGGGGGCGGGTTTAGGCCCACATGTAAAGAGAATGGGTCTAGTGGTCATGTGCCCACATAAAAAAAACCTGCAGCACCAGTGGTAATAGAAAAAAAAAACCCCGATCTTTTTTTTTTTGGATTAAAACGCCGATTTTGGGTGTTTTTCGATAGTATTTATTGTTGTATTTGCTTTTTCATGGTTTGGGTGAAAAAAAGGGAAAAAACATATTACAGAAATAAGTGATTTTCTTTACTTAGACGATGAAACGCCCTTGAAACTGAGCTCAAACTAGCGGAAATTTTCGATTTTTTACCAATTTAGGAGTAAACAAATCACACCACACGTCCAAATACACGTCAACTGGGGAGTCTAATATTTTTTCCAAGTCACTGATTTATTTATATCATTTTTTTCAAAAGCAGTGCTGCTAACATAAAATTTTTTTTTTTTTTGGGATGAATAAAAAATCAAAATATAAAGCAATAATAAAAATTTAAGAGGGGGCCCAGAGATGTGACTAATGAAAAGAGGATAGTTATTTTAGTGAACCAAAAAAACGTAAAGAAATTACTCTGCAGATCATAAAGGCCAAACAAGTGATTGTCCAAGCTGAAAAAAAAAAAGCCGTTATGGTCCCCTGGTAGAAAAAGTGTTATGCTTGTTCCACTCACATGACAGGAAAAAAAATTTAAATTTTTGCATCTATTAAAAAAAAGAAAGAGGTAACTAAAAGAGTTTCTTACCAAAAAAACGTCCCCGAACCTCCTTATAAGTCAGAAAAATTAAGCGGGAGAAAACGAACAATACACCAAGTTCACACGGGATGGGAAAATTTTTGTTAGGAAAACAAATGTAGGTCAATGTAAAATCACGAACGAGAATATCATCACATTTTCAGGGATACTAATCTTTCAGAGAATAATAAGCAATGTCCAACTTAAAAGCCTAGGTGTAGTGTATGTTTTGCTCCATTATTGTTCAAATTTCATTTTGCAATCTCTTTTTAATTAAAAAAATCAATACCTCCTTTTTTGGGTTTTACTAGTAAGCATAAGTCACCTTATGTGATTTTGTTATTTATTTGTTGCTTAAAAATTAGCTGAATTGATACTTTCTCTGTCCATATTATCCTCTATTTATTTTAAAAACTATCAATTTATATTATTACTAAAATTTTAATTATCAATTTTTACTAAAATTTCAATTTACTCTTAAAATTTTTTACATTTAAAAACCCTTACTTTTCTAATTACCTTTACCGTTTTAAAACCCTTTCAGGGTCCAGGCCCCAAATTTGGGGTACGCACCGTGTCCAAGAATTTTCAAAAAAAAAAAATTTTTTATTTTTTCTTTTTAAAAATGTTTTGAGAATCTTTTTGTGAGGTTTAAAAAAACAAAAAGTACGAAATTTTGGGGGAAAAATTTTCGAAATTATGCTCTCGCGAATTTTGAATTCAGCGATATTTACGAATGGCTTTTTTTCCGACTTTGACTCCCCTTTTAGGCCAATTACTTATTCCAATAAACCAAATTTTTAGCTTTTCATAGTATTATTTTTTTCTATCGATTGGCACAAGAAAAACCCAAGTCAACTGTTTCAACTACAAAATAAAAAATGATGGAAATTTTTTAATTTGGCCAAATTTAAAACAAAGTTCAAAATATTCCCAAATTTTAAAATAGGGCCAAATAAAAAAATGTAGGCATTCTGGCACAAAATAACTTTCCTTGTTATTAGTTATGTTTTGAGACTTTAAAAAAAAAATTTGTATAAATATCATCACCATTTTTTGTGCATGTATTTAGCCCCCACCAGCTGACGTGTATTAGACGTGTGAGGTCGTTTGTTCACTCTTGAATATGGGGAAAAAAATTTAACTTTTCCCGCTACTTTGAGCTCATTTTAACCCTTTTCCCATCCAAAAACCCATTGAAAACATCTCTATTTTTTAAATATGTCCCCCATTCTATAAAAAGAGACCAAGAAATCGCAAATACAACTATAAAAAGATACGAAAAAACACGAAAATTTTGCTTTTTTTTAATCGAAAAATCATGTTTTCAGTTTTTTTCTCTCTTTAAACATAGTGTGCTGCAGGATCTGTTTTATTGGTGCACACATACCCAAAGTATTTCTCATATTGGGCCCAAAAAGTCCCACTCACATTTATCAGAGTGAGCTGAGCCAGGGGTAGATCTACGGTTTGGACACCACCATAAAGCCTTAAATTAACGGGACGGACCCGGGAAAGGGTTAATCCCACATTTACTTTTAGATTACTCTTAATTACCTTTTGTCTGCCATATAACCAAAGTATAACCCCAGTGCAATTGAATGAAATAAAACATTTTTTTTCATTTTTTTGTAATCATTATTATTTACTAAAATTTTTTTAAACCAATTTACTACCGTCAATTTTTTTACTTTGTACATTAAACATTATCTTATATTTCCCCTAACATTTTTTCCCAAATTTTTCAAGTTTGTAATTAAACCCCAACCTTTTTATTTTATCCTTTGTACCTGTGACTGTGTACGGGGTCCCTGTCTCCCTTTACTACATTTAAAACCCAAGACATTCCCATTACCTTGTTATTTTTTACTATTTTTTTTTTGGTATTTTTAATTGGGGAATTTTTTTTTGAATTTAAATCTAGTTATAATCTTGATCTTGTCAAAAAACCAACCAGACTCTAGGCGATTGCAAGTACCTTTTCAAATTCATTTTAATTAAATTTTAATTATAATTCCTACCACTGTCCATTTAACTTTGTTTACCATTACTTAATTTTTGCCCTTATATATTTTCTCCTTTTTTTAGCTTTAATAAAACTACCTAGTTTATATTTCAAAATTTGTTAAAATAAAAAGGGTGTTTCCCAGGTGCAAAAGTAGAAAAGTTCACAATTTTGCCATTTTTTTCCCCCCAAACTCATTTATTTGATTACCATTTATGTTCACCACAACCTTATTAGCCCCTTTTATATTATAATTTTATACTATAATTCTAATTTTAAAAAAAATTCCTTTTAAAGTACTACCTACATCATATTCCCAAGCTATATTTGACATCCTTTTTTGTATTGTCCCTTTTTATTGTCCCCCTTTATTTAGTTTAAAAAAAAAAAAAAAAACTCCTTTAGCTCATTTTTTTACATTTTTAAATAATTCAATGCTTTTTTTTAGTTTAAGCTATTTACTTTGTTTTATACTTAATTCTAACTAAGATTCACTACAAATCTTATGATTACAAGCTTTGATCCTGATCCCAACCCTTTATTTAATGACTTAAATGAATAAAACAGTTACTGTAATTACTACACTGCAAAACAATAAAAGGGCACTTCTCAGTGCCAAAAAACAACATAATATCTTTAATAAAATATCAGATCTTTAAGCAAGCTTTACGATGACCTCATAGCCTACTAAATTCCTTACACCCAATATGTCCATATTACACTAATAAAAACCTGGCAAAAGTGATAGTACAGATGTCTATGCCTTCCTGGTTACACAGCCTTTACACAACTGTGGGCCAGACCAAAAAGGGGGGGCACAGCCATATATACCAGCCCAAAAAAATGTATCACTATTCTTGCAAAAGGGGATAAAACATGGGGAATTTTTAAATAGCTAAATTCAAACCCAAATACTACAAAAACCTCTCACATTGATAAACTCCAGGTTCCACATCAAACTTACCCCAATTTAGTAAAAAACCTAGGAAGTATGATAACTGATGCACGCATAAACAAAGATCATTACTATTCATGACTTAATAAAAATTCCTGCAAGACCAGGCCCCACCCATTACTGAATTAAAAAAACAAAATGAGTAATGTTGTTACCCCAACAGTAACAAAAACCTACAAGGTTAAGAGACTAGTGTTTCCCTACTTGCCACATCTGAACCAACCCAACCCCCTTTAAAATCAGGAAAATTACAGATAATACCACAGACCACTACCCTACTTTCCTCATAACAACTCTTGGTAAACTACCCCAAGCACTACAAAAGTCCCCTTCAGACTTCAAAAGGCACCATTAATAATTAAACAGCAGTAGCAAACATTGATTGCCCCGAGTAAAAATCATACAGAATTGACGAATTATTAATAATTTTTAAAAAAAGACCCAATCCCTTTAAAAAAGCACTCCCAAAAAAACTAACCTTGACAGCAAAGAGATGAACATCCGGCTAAACCCAGCATTTCAAATCCATAAATACAAAACCCCAATTGAAAAACAGTACAGAATGGGTCACTAACCCCAAAAACCCAAACAAAACGTTATCTCAACCCTCCCCACCTGAAAAGAGGGCAAAAAAATTTTATAATGGAAAAACAGATTACCCCAATTACGAGGTGATATAAAAAAGACCGGGAAAAAACCCATCAGAAATTCTGGGAAAAAAAAAAGTACACGAA